ACAGGGACGGCAGCGTCATGAGTGGGATCACAGGAGGGTCAGGACTTGGGGGACAAGGACTGTGGGGCTTGGGGGAGGGTCTGGGATTGAAAGGGATGGTGAAGGGGTTGGGGGGTGGCAGGGTTGGGAGGCTGGGCTCAGCAGAGGGAGGCTGGGGACCAAGTAGGGGATAGGAGTTGGGGGGCAGGTGGTGTGGAAGGGCACAGCGAGGCGTGGAGGTGAACTGGAGTTCACCTGTCCCTCGCTCTGCCTGCAGTGGCAGTGCAAGGCCTTCAATGCCTTGTCCACCCCAGGGAGCCCAGCGGGGAGTCGCTGGTGTCCAGGCTGGAGGTGGTGACCCTGCCCTCCCGCCTGCCTGAGGACCTGCCTGTGAGAAGCTGTGCCCGGGAGCTCCAGCTGCCTGTTCACGAGTGGCCACGCACGGGACCTGTGGGGCAGTTTGATGTCGGTGTGGTGGCATCATTTGGACGTCTCCTAAGCGAGGACCTGATTCTGCAGTTCCCATAGTGAGTGAGTTGAGGACATCTATCGCTGCTTTGTTAGTAAAGCCACACTCTGCTTTTGAGTATCGCTGTCGTCAGCACCTGTGACTTGTAGCAGGTCAGGTCAACTTCTCCCCGGGGTTCATCTGCTTAGCCTGAGTCCTGCTTCTATTGTTGTGAGCGTCACAGTTGTTCTTTAACACTTCAGTGGAGGTACTTGCCTTTACTCCTCTCATCTCCTCTGTGTTCACTGGGAAACTAAAGGTTGTAGAGTGTGAGCTTTCCTTTACAGTTAAACCAGTAACACTGCAGAAGGTCTGAGCAGATAATTCTTAAAGCAGGTGTCATTACTGTTGCACACCCGTTTACGTACGCTTCAGGTACTGTTCCTCTGCTAACTTGAAAATATTTTTGATTCAGTGGCGTGCTGAATGTTCATCCCAGCTGTCTCCCGCGTTGGCGTGGGCCTGCACCAATAGTCCACACGGTGCTTCACGGTGATAAAGTGACAGGGGTGACAATTATGGAAATACGACCAAAAAGGTACGTTAGATATGCTTCCCAGAACAACTCACTGCTGCTGTTGCCTCTCAGGACTTTAAATCATCACCATTTAAGTCATAATTTAAATTATTCTATGTAATCACTTTTTTATTATTAGATGTGTTTAATATCAAAATTTGAAATGCTAACAAGCTTGCATCTGACCATATGGGTCTTGCCACAAATACAGTATTTTAGTGAGCGTGTAATCTGCACTCTAGACTGTGGCATCAGGGTTTTTTTTAAGCTTTTAAGAAACAGTCTTTATCGATTGAAACCTTCAGTAGTCACGTTGGTCAAGTGGTACTTTTCTGTACAAATACTTCCCAGCCATCATCATCTCTAAATGTGTTGTTGCAGTTACTTTATTCCGGAAACAAACGTAAGACCAAGAATAATGATATAAGTTAAAAGGAATTCTCTGTTGTAGCAGCCTTGGGTACAGTTTTGTTAGCGTCTTCAACCTGTTTCCTGCTGGCAGCATCAGCCCATTGTAGTAATCCCAGGCCTGTTCTGTAATTCTGGGCATTATTACAGAGGGCAGACAGAGAACAGATATTAGCACAGCTGGGTGGTAGGATTGGTATGACATGACAAGAAAGAACTGGTTTTCAGTCATCAGAGTTGCCTGTAACCTCCTGTGAGTGAAAGAGAGAACAAGAAATTGCCTGTGTAGGGATGAGAGATTAATCATCTATTTTAGCTTCAGCGCAAACTCTAGCTTAACAGCTTGTAAAAACTCATCATCTTCATTATCTTAGATGCTTGTTTGATAATAGATCTCAGGAAAACGCAAAATAAATTTCTTCTGAATACTTCAGGTTGTTTCTTCTGAGATCTTGCACTTCTGTGCTGTAAATTGTGCATTCATAGCAGTCTCCTGCTTGCCAAGATCCAATACTCTTTTCCCTGTGTTGTCTTGAGAAGCAAACATTGTTTGGTCATGTGTGGGGAAATAAAGTTTTAGAGGAAGGAACAGGGTAATTGGTAACTGAGTGAATGTATTGAATGTAGACTTTTGAGCTGCTAATTGGGTTATAGCTTCTCCTCTGGTAAGCTTGTATGTTTTCTGCCTTTCAGGTTCGATGTAGGTCCAATTATTAAGCAAGAAGAGATTGGTGTTCCTCCCCACTGTACTGCAAAGGAGCTGGAAGGGATATTGTCCAAGATGGGTGCAGACATGGTAAAGTCATGGGAGCTAGTGTCACTTCTCATTAGTATCTCGCTTTTAAAGCGTGTAAACAGAATTCTCTTTAATCTTGTTCTGAGTTGACCACAGCTGTTAACAGGAGAGTGATCTGAGACAGTGTTTGTGAGCACGTTGCTTGCTGAGAGGCAAGCTGAGTGGTATGTGATAAGCTGTCGGAGCTGGGCCTGTGCCTTGCTGCTCTGCTTCTGTTCAGAGGAGAACTCAAGTGCTGTGTATGGAAACAGTGCAGTTCCTTCTTTAATAAAGGTGAATATCTGTTTTTTCACTTTAATAATCAGCTTTCATCCAGTTCTAGGATTAGTGTGAGAGAGGAGATCATCCATAAAAGAATACCTGGGGTTTTTAAGTTGTGATTCAGTGGGAATGATGCCATTAATGTGTTTGTATGTATCATGCAAGCCTTCTGAATATACTAACCCAATTTTCTAAAAGCTCACGATGAATTTTCACGGGTGAAAAATTAAGTACTCTTTTTGTATGTCTTGGATTTACTGTTAATGAATTTGCTCTACTTTAGCTTTGCTAATACTCTCTACAAAATTTAATTTTGCAGCTGATAGCAGTTTTGAAAAACTTGCCTGAAAGTTTAAAAAATAAAAAAGAGCAGCCAAAAGAAGGAGTAACATTTGGTAAGCAGACATCAGATTTAATGCAACTTGCTGATTTATTTCTTTTTATCAGCTGGAAAACTTAATTTGCTTCCTACTGTGCTGTGTTGTACTTTTTTTAGTTTCTCAATATGGTCTCTTTTCTTGCTTAAACTCGTACAGAGGGGAAAAATGCTTCAGACTTAGTGCATTAATGTGGGTTTTTTTTTTCCAGTTGCCTGTACAATATCAAAATCAGTAGCGAGGTTGCAAAATCTGAGTGAATTCTTCATGGTTGTAATGCAGACAAAAGTGTTGCAGCTGTGCTTGTAAATAAGGTTGTCAGTTTGCAGCCCAACGGGTAAAAATAAGAGGACAGCTCAGAATAAAGTATAAATAATCCAAACTGGTGTTTTTACAAAATCTTTTCTCCAGTTGTTGTCTAAGGTCCTGTGGCAGGTTTATCATATAGCCATTGGTGAGGATAAAATCGGGTTTAAAATAAGATAAAACAGCACAGCTATTTGTTTGCAAAAATATGCAAAACAAAATATGATGTCTTCTAACTTCTTTTCTCCCCCCCTTAGCTCCTAAAATCTCTATAGCTAGGAGTTGTATAAAATGGGAAGAGCAAACGGCTGCACAAATAATTCAACTGCATCGTGCAATAGGAAGTATGGTAAGACAGTGGATTTTTTTTTTAACCCATTTTTTTGTCGTCTAGCATGTATGAGTGTTTCAAAATATATATGTATTTTAACTAATGACTAAACCTCAAGTTCAGTTATTTTAGCCTCTGAATCCTCGCATGTGTATTGAAATCCCAGCGGAGTTCAGCATTAGAGGTGGAATTAGCGTGGAGGAGATTTTTCATCAACTTGATCCCAAGCGTGAAATCAGCTCAGTAGTTTCGTATTGTTTCCTTAGCTCTGAGGCTTCTGCTGATGCATTTGAGAGGATTTCAGGATGCTGAGATGACATCTCTGACAGCAAGCAGTACAAATAGCTACGGTAGCTAATTGCTCAGCTCGTCATTGCATATGCTAATGGGTTGCTTGTCAGTGAGATGGGGACGAACAAGGAAAACTAGATGTAGTAAGGAAAGTCTCTTATGTGGACACATACCTAAATTCTTCCCCTAATGCTATTATGACAGGTATCTTACATAAGAAAAAAATCTCGACAGTTGCCTGGAAATGCTGAAAATATTCTCAATGTGTTATCTGCTTCTGTTTCCAGTTTCCTTTGCAGACGCTGTGGAAAGGTACTACCATTAAACTTCTGGATTTTGTGGAAGTGGATAATATCCCTGATTTTGACGGTATTTACATCTAAATTAACTTGTTAAACTTGCCTGTCTTGTCAGACGTTGACTTGGAGATTGTACGCAGTTGTACTAAACAATAGCTTGAAGTACTGCTTTCTGAAAGTCTAGTAGAACTAAGTCAGTCTTGTGTATGCTCAGAGAACAGTAAGCTTCTGGGCCCAAAGATGAGCATAAAATGGGTTTTGCTTTCTGATGATGTTGAGCAAGCAGCAGGTGTAGTCCTGTGAATCCTGAGACTCTGGAGCATTTTAATCCTCTGATTAGTTAGGAGGTTGTCTTTGAGGGCTGTTGTTTGGGGATCTCTCACGTGGAAAGCTGTCCCTGTGTACTGTTGCTTAAACAGTTTTCTGTAGTGATCCGAGTCTGAGTGCCCTGTGGGCCGAGTGATATGCCAAGGCACATGGTGGGATTAAGGACCAGTTGGAGTGAGTCCAGAGGAGGCCACGAGGATGCTCCGAGGGCTGGAGCCCCTCTGCCATGGGGACAGGCTGGGGGAGTTGGGGGTGTTCAGCCTGGAGAAGGGAAGGCTTCGGGGAGACCTCGAAGCCCTTTCCAGTGCCTGTGGGGGGGCTATGAGAAAGCTGGGGGGGTACTTTTTACAAGGGCCTGTAGTGACGGGACAAGGGGGAATGGGGTTAAACTGAGAGAAGGGAAGTTTAGATATCAGGAAGGAATTCTTCCCGGAGAGGTTGGGGAGGCACTGGGACAGGTTGCCCAGAGGAGCTGTGGATGCCCCCTCCCTGGAAGTGTCCAAGGCCAGGCTGGATGAGGCTTGGAGCAACCTGGTCTAGTGGAAGGGGTCCCTGCTAATGAGGACTAGATGGGCTGAAAGGGCCCTTCCAGCTCAAACCATTCTGTGATTCTATGACTGTTTATGGATCAGACAGGGAGTAGTGCCAGAGGGTGACTGTTCTGATTCTCCCCTGCTTATTTGGGTATAATAAAACATAGAATACAAGACATATTTTTGGCAAAATAGAGACGCAGGATGATTATCATGCTTATCAAGATGATTATCAAAAGACATAAGTGTTTCAGAGTTTGTTTTTTTGTACTTGTTGGCATAAAAACACAAGACAATCTTTCTTTGCTTTTAGATCAAACACTAAATGACTGTGGAGCTGTTCCTGGTTCCCTGATATACCATAAAGTGTCCCGAACGCTGGTGGCTCGTTGCAAGGTAGGCTTTTCCCACTTGCTTTTTCTTCACTGCCCTAAAATGAGGTGTTTAGGATCTGTGTGCTACGTAACTCTTGTCTTCATTGTCTGTTGTTACTCACTGAACTAGTTCAGATTAGCAGCAGTGTCTTTATTTGACACCTGGAAGAACTTTGAGTTTCCATCAGCAGGCTTTTCACTTGGCAGTGGGGATTTGACTCCTAACGTAAACACAAGGACATAAAATGTGTTCTGCACGCCAGCCTAGTGAGAGCTAAAGGAAGAAGCTTACTGCCTTTTTTTTTTGCTTTTATTTTTAGGAAGGCTGGGTTGGGATGAAAACAGTTGTATTAAAGAAGAAGCTGACAGCAGCTGACTTCTACAACGGATATATGCACTCCTGGTTCCAGCAGAACTCAAGAACAGTTAATCAGGAATGCAGATTTCAAACGCTCAAACTTAGCACGGCAAAAAAGACTCCGAAAGAGAGGGGAATATTGGCACAGGATATAAAACAATAGCTGTATTTTAAGATGTGGAAGGTGTCTGTAAGTTAATAAAATACTTCAATGCTCACCGGTAACATTCAACTTAGTTCAGGGGTTTCCTCCCAAACTGTTTGACCTTAATGTCATCTGCATGTTTTCATCATGGGTTCCCGAGCAGACTCATTTCTCTCTTCCCATCAAGGAAGAGAATCTCTGGATGTTGAAGATAGTGTTTCAGCATGGAAATCCCTGTTTCCGTGGTTGAGTAATAAACATTATTTTTGTACAGTGTTTTCAGTTTCTTCTTGACGACTCCTGGCGTAAGTTATGCACAGTTAACTTTAATCTGGAAATACTACAACCCAGTTTTTTTCTGTCAGAGTTTAATGTTCACTGAGACTTTTAGATTGTCTAGTTTGATTTTCCTTGCGGACTCTTTGTAGCACCACTTGGAGCTGAATATAGCATAAGCCTTAGGTGGGAACATCTAGAGAACCTTTTCCTGTCCATGGTAGTTTGCTGAGTCAATTAGTTAACACAGAACGTCCCTTATTTCTGACTGGGATTTGATGCCACGTTTTTTGGGTCGTAGGCCTTTGTTGGGGTTGTCTGCCAGGTGGGGTTTTCTGAGCAGTCTGTTCCATCTGATCAGCTTGTGCAATCATTAATTACCTCTGGCTGACTCTGTGTAGTCTCAGTCTACAGGTGTCTCCTTCCAGTGTGCTGGAATTCAGTTTCAGTAGATCTTTGATGGAGAAAGGGAGTAAACAGAATGTTCCTAATCTGTTCTCGTCTGAGGTCTCCTCATCTCGTTCTCTTAGGGCTGTCGTGTTTACTTGGGCCTGTTGGCTTTGTAAATGCTGTAAGTAGTGGGTCCTGTTTAGTGTCATCCCTGGGTGTAGTCACCTGCGTGTGATGTGAGCGCATCGTTTTGTTTCCTTTTAAATTCAGAAAAGAAAAATGTTTATGCGTATATTTACTTTTCAATACGAGGGACTGTTTTACTCTCATAGGTTCTGTTTGGAATCTATAAACCTGTCATTTACCTTGTTCAGTAGATATTTTTCTTTAATGTCTTTTGCTTTTCTGCTCAATGCCTTATCTTTCCTGTTTAATCATACTGATTGCCATCTCTTACACTGTTTTTTTTCATACTCTAGCATATATCCCACTTAATATTTGGGTGCCATCCAACCAGAAAACTTAGTTCGGCTGTCATACTTTCTCTGATGAGAGAGGTTTTACCTGTTGAGGAGTTGTTTAATCTAATCCAAACTTTCCCTTGATTAATGGTATGTCTAAGAAGGAGTGTTTCATGTGAAGAACCCTGGAATGGGTGACTCTTACTTTCTTGTCTTAGAAGTAGCACCGTGAGGATAACAGCAAAACAAAGCCTGACCAGAGCTGAGCAGTTGCTTTAGTGTTGTTTGCTCAATTTATTCCTGCTTTTAATGAGTACAGCTGAAGTAAAAGCAGAGCCACTTGAGCCGTTCAGACTTGGGGAGGCACTGTTCCCTTAGCTTCATATTTATGGCATTATCACTGGAATTTTGGAAGCTTAAAAAGGGGAAAAAAAAAGAAAAGCAGGAGTACTGTAGGCTTGGTATTAGAATGGTTCTGTTCTCATGCTGATAAGTAAATGCCAGCAGATCCTCTTCCACCTGCCCTTTGGCTCCTCAGAGTTTTCAGTGTGCTGGTGTCTTTTTGAGCAGTCGTGGCTGGAACTTGAGAGCTCAGGTCAGGTGTTGAATTCATGAGATGGATCATGGTGACAGGAGCTTGACATGCTTGAGTGTGACTCACTGAATGAAAGAAAACAAGAAAAATCTAGAAAAATGTGTTCTATAACATGGATTAATATGTTTCTGAAGAAGCATCTGTTAAAGCAGACGCTATAGTGTTTTTCTTTCATTGTCATTGGTCCAATAATTAATCTGCCTCTGACAGGTTTTCCAGAACACATGATTCTCCAAGAGATCCAAAGCTGTGACTCAGCCAAAAGCTGGAAACAACAGTATGGTGGAAGTCAGCAAGTTCCTGGGGAGAATTCCTTTGTCTTTGGCTGCCAACTCAAGGGTGCAATTTGTGCTGCAGAAGTTATAAAACCGGCAAGTTTGTTCGTAAGCAAATGATGTATTTTTGTGCTTTGCTCTTTCCTACTGCTTACAGGTAGTGGTGGTGAAGTCATATGGCTTTTACTCTGTTCAGGCTATGAAAGGTTAGTTGTCACACCCATAGAAGTGATGGTGGGTGGCTTTGGGGTTTTTCTGGGGTTTGCTCCGTCACTGGTCCCAGTTGTACAGCTGCTTGCCTTGTGTCATCCCATCTGGAGCTGCTGGGAATCGGTTATTTTTAAAGAACACTCATTGGAATTCAAATATTAAATGTTTGCTGAGGTTAAGAACATTTTCTCTAAAGTGTCTTCTCCATAGACAAGATTTTGACCCTGAGCATGGCCGGGATCTGGCCTCAGGCATGCATTGTATCGGAAGTTAAAATAGGTTGGACTCAATCTTAAAGGTCTTTTCCAACCAGAACAATTCTGTGATTCTGTGAATTAGCAGAGAAATGAGTAGACAAAAACAAACCACCCACCCCAAACCCCACCACCACAACTTACAGATAAGCAGAGATGATAAAGAGTTTTGGACTTATGGGAAGTGAAGTATTTTAGGCAACTGTTAGCATGGCTGGACCCAATTTTTCTGGTTTACCAGGTTGCAAGGCACTGGAAAATGAATTGTGGCTTGTTATGATGTGAGCAAAATGATGGGTGGGATGTGCCTCCTGCAGAAAGAATACAGTGCCAAAAGCTCAGGCAGTTTAGGGTTAAAAGTTTTTTTTAGATGACCAAACTGTTAAATTAACTGCTTTGTTCCTAGGAATGACTTTTGAGGAAAAGTCCTTTAAGTCCTTTGTTTTTTTGAGCCTGCTCTGACCCCGGACAGTTGATAGCAAAGAACAACTCCGTCTCCATCCTTTGCGTGTACAAAATGAGCAAAGCAGTGTTAATGCTGCTCGTTGGAGTATCAGCTTCCAGCCAGCAGTGTCTGTGCCAGATGTTGCTGATGGAGAACATCTGCAGGGAACTTGTGTCTCTCGCTGACAGTTTAGATGGTGCCTCGTGTGAGATCTGTCGCTGTTAGTCCTCGCCGGCACGCGGTAATTTCGGTTCTAACTGAAGCATGAAGCGAAAGCCAAATTTCTCTGCCTCTTTGGGGGAATTGGGGGTGGCATGTGCTCAGAAATCCTGTAGGTGGTGCTCACGGCATCTCTTAGGGGCAAACCAAGGTCAGCTGGACCGAAGATGCTGGAAATGTGGTATAGAACGTCTTCAGTTAGCTGTTCAATACCACGTAACGGCTCAGTGAGATTGTAGCCAGGGTACCTGTACTTGGAACTTTAATCCTGTGATCTGTGCAGTTTCAGGCTGCTCAGCGTTGCTTTCTATGCTGGAGGTTATCAGAGATCAGACGGTTCTTTGTTGCTCAACAGTTAACATCCCAGCTCTTCACCCCAGTTGTTTTATGGAGGAAATCTTTGGCATGCTATTTTTGGCATGGCAGAGAAGCTTTAAAGGGAATTGGTGTTCCCCGGGCAGCTATTAGCCAAAATGTCTTTTTGGAAACTTTGCTTTCACCTAGCTCTGTAGGGATTTAACTCGGTAGGTAATGAAAACCTGATTAGTTTTGCAGAACAGGCAAACCAAAAACGGGGCATTCGCTGATGAGGTGTGGAATAGCATGTCAGGGTTGACTCTGGAACACAGACAGTGTGATTCAATCCCCAGTACCGCTGGCGAGGTCAAGGACAGCCACCCTAGCCACTGGAATGTGATACCAGCAAAATAAAACAGCTGTCCTCCACGAGAGAGGGAAAGTAGCAGAGGTATCCATGGATCCAGCATCTGCCACGGCTCAGTTTTAGAGCACTGAAGCCAGATTACTGGTAGAACTGCAGGCCGTTTGGGCACCAGAAGGGCTCTGGTGTTGGATAGGGATGATTTCATCTTGGATTTCAAATAAATGTTAGAGGGAGTGATATTTCCTAGGATGCTGGTGACTAGCAGTTAGATGCATCTGTTTCATGATCTAAAACCTTCCTTCTCCCCCTGCTTCCTAGGAAACCTCTTTATTCCTGTTTTTGCTGAATAAGTTACAAATAAACAAAAGGTGTGAGTGACTAATCACTGGAGTACTTGAATCTTTTAAAAAGTTGATTGCAAAATCCCTGAATAACTTGGAGGTGGAGACTAGACGGGAATACCTCTTCCTTTGTTTATCCTAACTGCTGACAGCCTGATGGCTTCTGGGAAGCAATATTTTCCATTCCTTAGGAACAGAAGGAGGGGTAGGTCACCGGATTTAGCTGAGGGTTGGAAATTAAGTGACCTTAATGGCAGATGCTTTGCCATTAGGCCCAAACTTGCTGATGTTTCGGAGCCGGGTCTCCTGCTTCAGCCTGTCTCTCAAGGTTGGTGGTCCGAAGGCTAAGGCGGAGGGAGGGGTGAGTCCCGGCCTTCCTGCGTTCCTCCGGCTGATGCTCCCCTTGAATGTGTGGGTTAGGTTTTTGGTTGCAGAAGGGACACTGCTGTAGGCTGACCACGAACACCAGCGCTCAGGAGCTGGAGAAGTCAGAACTGAGGCTGAACCCGAGCGTACGGCTTATGTGAGGGCTGCGTGCCAGGACCTGCTGTAGCTTTTCTCCTCGAGGGACTTTCTTAAGGGCATTTGGTGCCGTGGCTCGTCGGTAGCAACCAAGCGTTAGCACTGAGTGGTGGTTGTTTTCTGGCGATAGTGCTCAAGTACCTGTGTTTGAAACCCCTGTCTTGCTCTGTGTCCAGTGTACGCAAGCCAGCAGCCTCCGCCGGGAGCTCAGGGGCCTGGGGAGTGCGGAGATTAGTTTGTTCCTCCAAGTCGGAGTTAAGCTGCAGTGGGGGACAGATTGGGGAAACTTGGAGAGCTCCTTGCTGTTTCGTGGATAGGCAGAATTTCAGGCCGTAGGGCTGTGACCACCTCATTCCTGTTAAACAGACATTTCTCCCCAAAAGAAGGAACCCCGTACCCTGCCGTGTTTTGCTCTGGCAAGCCCGCATGCAGCACAGGGACCAGATCCCTGCCTTCACCCACCTACCTGCTGCGTCGGTCTGTAGAAGTCGTTTGCGTTACTCCAAGTGATGAAACTAAGTTGGGGATTTGGCTGGCTGGCTGCAGAGGAGGAGGGGAGCGAAGGGAAGAGACGCTTCTCTGTGCGCCTGCAGTGCGAGCCAAGAGCTCTGTGGGA